TTTTGTAATTAAATTACGTAACGCCGTTACATGTAACTAGTTACTCCCCAACACTGTATCTATATTGGTATATATATACACTAAAAATCTTACTGTTCAAAAACATTTGACTGGTAATGTTTTTTTAAAGAAGCTCACCGAGCCCACCGAGCCTGCATTTATTTGATCCAAAGTACAGGAAAAACAGTAAAATTGTGAAATATTTAAAACAGCTTCAGTGTCACATGATCTTCAGAAATCATTCTAATATGCTGATTTGCTGCTCAAGAAACATTTCTGATTATTATCAATGTTGAAAACAGCTGAGTAGAATTTTTCCAGGATTCACAGATGAATAGAAAGTTTCATCAGAACAGCATTTATCTGAAATAGAAATCTTTTGTAACATTATATATGTTCATAATTGTTTTACGAAATTATATTTGATTTGAGTTTTTTATTGACAATTTTTTTCCTGCGTTGACAAATTTAAATGCGCTGCATTATTTTGCTCATTGCGCCCTCCTGTGGCCTCGGGAGACAAGACAAAATTTTCCTTAAGACCTATTTAATCTGCATATAAAACATGAATTTTTATTTGTTGCTTGTCTCAATAAATTGGGTTAATTTAAAAACACAGTGGTTAAATGTAAAAAAAAATTCTATTGCTCTTTGTTTTAAAAAAGGTTATAAAAATGTCAATAATTATCGATACCAAACGATATGAAACATTATATCGTTGATAAATATTTTAGCTATATCGCCCAGCCCTAGACGAAGTCTTTTTATTTCAGATAATCTTTGGATCTTTCTATTCATCAAAGAATACTGAAAAAATGTACTCAACTGTTTTAAATATAGATAATAATAATAATAATCAGAAATGTTTCTCGAGCAGCAAATCAGCATATTAGAATGATTTCTGAAGATCATGTGACACTGAAGACTGGAGTAATGATGCTGAAAATACAGCTGCGCATCACAGAAATATATTACCAGACTGATGCTCGTCTCCGGGCCACGCCGCACTGAAGCAGTAGTTCATGCAGAAGGAGCCCCGACCAAGTATTGAGTGCAGAATTAAACCTACTTTGGAGATCTTGAACATTTCTGTTTTGTAAATCTTGTTTTGATTGATCTTTGAGAAGATATTCTAATTTTTTGAGATACTGAATTTTTTATTTTCCTAAGCTGTAAGTCATAACCCTAAAAATAAAAAAAATCTCGAAATATTTCAGTTTGTGTGCAGTGAATCTAGAATGCAAGAAAGTTTGCTTTTTTGAATTAAATTACTACAAATAAAGAACTTTTCCATGATATTCTAATTTTTTGAGATGCACCTGTACATACTTACATATACAGTATATATATATATATATATACACACACACACACATACATTTATATATATATATATATATATATATTTGATTATCAATATAAAAAAACAAAAACATTTCCGTTACCTGAAAAAAAATGTGGCATGAAACAATTAAAACAAAACAAAAAAAAATACTATTAAACTTAAATTATTAAAAATAGGGATGCACCGATACCGATACTGGTATCGGTATCGGGCCCGATACTGGCCTCCTGTACTCGTACTCGTACTCGTTAAAATGCCCCGATACCAAACGCCGATACCACACAGCATGTGATAAGCGCCATATTTAAACATAGAAACACTGACAACAGACAGCAGATAAATGCTGTTCTTTTTAACTTTTTATTCATCAAAGAATCCTGAAAAAAAATTACTCAACTGTTTTAAATATTAATAATAATTGTTTTTTTGAGCAGCAAATCAGCATATTAAGAATGATTTCTGAAGATCATGTGACACTGAAGACTGGAGTAATGATGCTGAAAATACAGCTGCGCATCACAGAAATATATTACAGTTTAACAGATATTCACATAGAAAACAGTTATTTTAAATAGTAAAAATATTTCATAATTTTACTGTTTTTGCTGTACTTTGGATAAAATAAATGCAGGCTTGGTGAGCAGAAGAGACTTCTTTAAAACATATTAAAAATCTTTCCGTTCAAAATCTTTTGACTGGTAGTGTACATGAGCTGCTGTTTAATAAGGGAACGTGTCTCAGTGTTTGTGCTCGCTCGTACCTTCCTCTTCGGTGCATCTCCGGTCTCTCGTGGGGACGACAGCGATGGGAACTTGTCTCTGGGCAGCAGCTTCATTCCCAGCTGAGCTCGAATCTTACTGCACAAACATGAGCGTGAGTTCAGTTCAGAGCCACAGATCAAACAGCAGACACTAAGCCAGAACTTACTTGGTTTCCTCCATGCTGTAGTTCAGAGGATCCGCCTCTGAGTCGGCTTCTGTGAGGCCATTGGTTGAGCTGGTGGGGGTGGGGCCTGGAGGGGAAACAAGCTCCTCCCCTTCTTTCAATGCTTGTGTGAGCTCCTCCTCTGTAACCACTGACAGAACACACTCATGAATATTCATATCTTTAAGCTACTCATAAGGTATTGCATGACAGCATATTAAAAGTTTAAAATATAGAAGTTGAATGCTGATAAACTGACACCTGTGGTGTCACCTGATAGGTGTTTGCAGGAATTATTCCAATTATATATATATATATATATATATATATATATATATATATATAC